GTGTCCAGACTGCACGCCGCTTTCACCTCATTTGATCTCTTGGTTTTATGGTACCGTCTGCATAGATTTATGGCCATTTCATGGCCGTTCAGGGATGACTCCGCAGTTACTACAGCGCTGGCCTGGGGGTATTTGAATGTGGTTTTGAGCTGCATCTTTTTCTATTCCAGGGTGGGTTTGGTACAACAACGGAGCGAATGCCAGGTGCAGATTGGGCCTCCGTTAAAGCATTTCTATTTTTTAAAAATTATTATTTATTATTTATTATTTTTTTTATCCTGCCCTCCCGGCCAAGGCCGGCTTACAACAATAAAATCTGCATGAAACAATCATAATGCAATCACATTAATAAATACAACATTAACATTCAAACAAAATAAAGTGCTAGCAACAATCTTCTAGCCCGCTTTATCGTCTCGGACGAGGGATGCCGGCCTCCAGGTGGGACCCGGGAACCCCCGGAATTACGGCTCATCTCCAGACTACAGACATCTGTTCCCCTGGAGAAAATGGATGCTTTGGAGGGTGGACGCTATTAGAATTGTATCTAGGGTTGCCAGATTGTCAAAAAATACCAGAACTGTGAAATAACAATTATGGAAAGTTCAATACTTCAATATTTTCTTATTACAGTGCATATGTCTCTACAACAGTACATATCTTAATCACAATAAAGAATTCATTATCCCGATCAACAGTCCACTGTAATGATGAATGAAAGTGCCTGTAAGTGTTCTTTCCAAGATTAAAGTGCTTGCGTTGTAGTAAATGAGCCTCTGTCCTTTGTTCTTTCAAACCCAATAAACGTGGATGATTTATGGACGTTCTAATGGAGCCTCTGACGGACTTGTCAACCTTTCATTCCCGTTTCTTTTCAGCTTTCCCAAAGAGGCAACAGAATAAAATCCATATATCCCAATATCTTTTGAAGGCAGACAAAATTTTTACAAGCACCGCTTTCACAGACGGAGAGGTTTAAACATTAGAACCTTTAGAACTGTTTATTGTGATTAAGATATGTACTGCTGTAGAGATATAGGTCAGTGATAGCGAACCTTTTAGAGACCGAGTGCCCAAACTGTAACCCAAACCCCACTTATTTATTGCAAAGTGCCAACATGACAATTTAACCTGAATACTGAGGTTTTACTTTAGAAAAAACAACTCATACATTAACTTAAGATGATCCAAACAAAGTAAGGAAAGCAATCCCAAATGCTTTCATTTACTTAAAATTATTTGGCAGAGAATTCGACACTTTAATGATGGTCTGGGCCTGGCTGGGGCGATGGCACGCGTGCCCACAGAGAGGGCTCTGAGTGCCGCCTCTGGCACCCATGCCATAGGTTCGCCACCACTGGTATAGGTGCTTCAGGATGTGGTGGGCTGGCTTAGACTGTGTCGACTGAAATTGAATCCAAAGAAGACGGAGGTCCTGTGCTTGAGTCGGAGCAGATCGGGGATAGGTATCCCACTACCGACCTTCGGTGGGGCGCCATCGGTGCCAGCGCCGAGGGTTAGGAACTTGGGAGTGCTCCTGGATGCCTCCGTAACAATGTATTGTATTTTTAACTCTTTTAACTCTATATCGTTCTATGATCTTTTAATCCTGTTAGCCGCCTTGAGCCAGCGTGTCAGGCAAGGCGGGATACAAGTAGAAACAACAAATAAATAAATAAAATAAGAAAATACTGAAGTATTTTACTCCAGGGGGGAGTAAAAGCAACTTGGGATGGGGGGGGGGTTCAGCAAGAAAATGGTAATGGGAGGAAAGGATTAACACACACACCCTCCTTCTTGAAACAGCAGTCCAGGTAAGCTGCATTTACAAGAGGAGAAAAGGCCATTTAAAACAAACACAGAAGAAATCGTGAGGTATAGTCAAGCCAGTAAGGCAAAGGTAAAGGTTTCCCTTGCTCAAAAGCCAGTCGAATCCGACTCTAGGGGTGCGTTCCTCATCTCCGTTTCCAAGCCGAAGAGCCAGCACTGTCTGAAGACTTCTCCATGGTCGTGTGACCAGCATGACTAGACGCCGAGGCGCACAGAATGCTGTTACCTTCCCACCGAATTAGTACCTCTTTATCTACTTGCAATTTCTTGCTTTCAAACTGCTAGGCTGGCAGGAGCTGGGGCCAGAGATAGGAGCTGACTCCGTCATGCAGCACTGGGGTCCCGAACTGCCAAGCTACAGTCCAAAGCATTTCACTTTCCACCCCACTCCTTTGAACAGCTCTGGAAGGAGGGTTCCCAACCTCCAGGCGGTGCCTGGAGAGCTCCTGCAATCAAAACTGATCTCCAGGCTACGGAGATCTGTTCCCCTGGAGAAAGCGTGGCTTTGGAAGGTGGACTTTATGGCATCCTACTACACTGAGGCCCCTCCCCAATCCAAACCCCGCCCTCCCCAGGATCCACCCCCAAATCTCCAGGGATTTCCCTTTGTACAGCTGGCAACCCAATCTGGAAGGAAAGGTTGCCATCTCTGGGATGGGAAATGTCTGGAGATTTTGGGGGGTGGAGCCTGGGGAGGGGAGGGGCCTCCGTGGGGTCCAGTGCCACAGAGTCCACCTTCCAATGCCGCCATTTCCTCCAGGGGAACCGATCTCTGTCATCTGGAAATCAGTAATAATTCCAGGATGGCGACCCTAAGGAACTCTTTAGTTTTATCTGAAGAAAAGAGCAAGAGTCCAGTAGCACCTGAAAGACCAACAAAATTTGAAGCAGGGGAGGAGCTTTTGTGATGGAGCAGAGGTCCATCGGTGGCTATTAGCCACAAGGTATAGACAGGAACCCTCAGACCAATTTCACAGTCTGGGGCAAGTGCAGTGTTCCCTCTAAGCTGAGTTAGAGTGAGCCAGCTCACAGTTTTTTAGCCTCCAGCTCACACATTTTTGTCTTCGCTCAGGAAGGAGGGCTCCAGAGCAAATGGCTCGCTCACAACTGTAGTGCCAGTGGCTCCCACAGAAGGATTTTTGTTCAC